CCGTCGACCACAACCGGGAGGGTATGGGTGTGTGTGCGTGTGTGTGGCTCGTACATCTCTTCCTGATTAGTTCAGAATCAGGTTTGTTTCAGTCTGTTCCCCTTAATGCACTGCCAGTGGTTCACCAACTCGGTCATAGCCTCAGAGGTGGACTTTTTGTCCTCTCACTTTGGTGCTGAATGTGAGGATGAAAAAAGATAACCTGAGGCTCTAAACATATTGGCTACACCTACAATGTCGGTGATTCTTTTCGCCTTTTACTTTGGATGCGTTTTGAAGAAACGTATCATTTAGGTCAATCATACGCAATCAATTTCCAATGTTTGACCAAAAAGACAGAAGCCCCTCCTGCACACAATTATCAGTCTCCTTTGACTAGGTATTCTTTGTGTAGTGTTTGCTTCGATTCATCTAAATAATTAAACTGATCACGCTCGATTGTTGTTTAATTCTTTGACCTAAATGACCGATTCTGTAGTAGCACTTTGCCACACCATAATAACAGAGTGTTCGATCCGCTTCTCGGCCACTAACTGGTCACCTAAGGCATCGATCTGGCCCCGGTTCTCTTTGTTTGTTTATTTTACAATCGATAGTGTGTGTATTGAGACCCCTCATTTCCTGTTCGATCCTGGGAACTCCGTGATCGAACTAAAGAAAGTTTTTGTGACACTTCCAAAAGTTCCCTGTTTACTTTGAATTGTCATGATGCCGTTGAGAATTAACGCTCAGATCGATACCGAGCACTTGAACGTATCATTCGAGTCTTTTTTCAAAACTGATTAAGATACCATGAATTAGCGTGTTGTTTTTAGCTCATTTATTACGTGTATGGGTTTCTTCTGTGCTTTCGTTTTACACAATTATTTGTTACAACCCGACACCGTTTCTTTACAGGCGGATCAAATTTCCCGGAAAAAAATTCGTCAGATCGACGAAAACAACACACAAAGAGCCGGTGTTCCGGGTGATTTGTTTGATAATGTGATGGAGGACGATGACGTTGATGACTGACTGTTATCATTCCCCACTCGTTTCACACCCCTATTCTGTGCACAACTGAGACAATTCTGTTTCCTGTTCCCCTTCGGATTATCTATGCACTAATTATTTTTTATCTCACACACTTTTTTCTACTTTATGCGTTTTGCTCCGTTCGTTCTTATTTTTCATACCCTCGTCCTCCTAATTCACATTTTTTCCATAACCTGTTGTATTTTCATACTGTGATACTTAAATGTGATCTAGTGCGCCGTTCGTAGCACTGTTTTGCAGTGACCCGTTTCCACCAGGTTTTCTGGAATTCTCAGGGGTGGTCACTATCTGATGTTCCCAAATTTATTATTGTCTCTACCACTTGACATAAAGATTTTTTTACGAATTTGCTATCAAATGTTCATAACCTTGTGGTGTATGAAAGCATCGTACGAATCTTGGTTTCGAAATCAAATTAGCACTGAAACGAGCAGAACAACAAGGTATCTTATCTTTATCTTTTTATCGTTTATCTTACTTCCTATTTATTGAATATACAAAGATACAATTTTCAGGTAGAGGGAAGCGGCCAATCAAAGAGCTGTCATTCAACAGACAATGGGGAAGTCAGGCGGTAGTGGTGGTGGTGGTGGAATTCGAACACACATGCCCAGAGTGATAATTTGGTGACGTCACCACTGGACCACTACTGCCAGTGGATATCATCTTCCCTTCTAAATTCGTTAAGGAATACGGTTGGCAAAAACCAATTTGTTCGGCCGCGAGTATTCTTTATTTAGTACACACCTTATCGTGATGAACAGCAAACGGGGCAAACCCCATAATCACGAGGACCTGCTACTCACTCATAGAGACCAGCAATCTAAGCCCCGTAGGACTCGGAGTGGCAAGTGGCCCACTAGTTCAGGCGTGGTACTATTGAACCAGACGACAGTAAAGCTACCTACCACCTTGTTGCAAAATACCCCCAGTTCACTGTCAGGTAACACTCGAGCAAGTTCACAATGAATCCAATGCACTAGTGCCAAATACGTACGGATTAAAAAGTTTATATAAGTATTTACTGCTCGTTAACATTCCGTGAACGGAATCACAGGGCAACTAGACCTCCTTTTGTACAATACCAGCGCAGAACATCCCCCCCCCCGGCACAATGCTCTGCTGACATGAGAAATAACTCAGCTACTATGTTTCAGATAAGCTGGACTAATTTTCAGTTTCCACAACCATTAAACGCGCATATTCGAGCGCCGGTTTTGGTTGCTCCCTTTTGGCGGCCCAC